AAGGCTGCAGTCCTATCAAAGTAAGTAAACCCTCACCTCATAACTCATCCAAAGTTACAATTCAAGCATTGGAAAACCTTTACATTAATCATATCAACTTGAACATTATGGTCGGGAAAAAATTTTTGAATTTCAAACTCCAAAAATAGTGTATATTGTAACAAACTTTCTAGACCATCCATTTCTCCCTAAAAATAAATGTTCACATATCCACAAGATCATTACCTTTTTTTTAGTATCAACTTTTATTTTTGGTATTAGAAATTGATTTTAGAGCCATCATGGAGATTTTTTTTCGCCAAAAGTGCTTTTCATATGAGGATTCGAAATGAAGCTTTATTTTATTTTCATAAAACCTAAATCTTATAAAAACCTCATCCTTTTTTAAAACACTGTTTAAGTCATGGCCAACATGTACGTTATGTCAATGCAAACATTGGATACGTGTTTGTGCAAATGTGAGGGTTCATGCATTGCACGTGCCTCATAACCTAACGCCACTTGGTCCTTTGCATCTCATCTCCTTTTTCCTTTAATTTTTTCACCGAGAAATCGTGAAGGCTTGGTGACAATGCTTTGGGACCATTCTATGTCCCCCTACCTTAAATGGAGAGAAGATAGACTCCTTTTTCAAGCAAGAAAATATGAAAGATAGAGTGACACTGCAGTTGTACATCAAAGTTTCAATGTCCAATCGCCCATGGTTTTAAGAGTTTTTTTTTTTTTTTTTGATAAAACCCATGGTTTTAAGATTTTTGTTTAAGCTATATGATTTTATGCTTTTGTAGGAGCATATTGTCCATTTATTTCCAAGATAAAATTCAATCAAGGGATAATTTTGAGAACCCAAATTTAAAGAGAGAACATTTTCAATACAGAGGCTATACATATAAGGTTATATTAGGGTACAAAATTGTTGAGTATAATGGTATATTATTGCATAGTGTGAGCACCCTAACAAAACCCATACACACACATATATATAGAGTAATGATCCTATGAGACCGTCCCACACCTATGTATATAAGACTCCAAAATATCACTATTAAATTTGACATAAATCTCTAAAAAAGTTATCACATGGGTGTGGGATTTGACTTTTCTAGAAATATTTAATGGTTTTCCTTAAAGGTCCTACACACATGAATGTGAGAGGGTCTCATAGGATCATTACTATATATAT